TCGGTGTGCACTCGTCGTGTGTTGTGTGCGTGTGTGGTGGTGTTGCTGTATGGATGCGCGTCTTTTTGTTCTGTATGCGCGACCCGTTGGTTTTGTTGTCCGTTGTGTGTCACGCATTATGCCGTGCTTGCCGGCGGCGGGGCTTGCCGGCAGTATCTTCCCGTCGGGAAGGTACCGCCGGCAAGCTGTGCCGGGTATCGTATATTTTCCCGTGCCTGTACCGAAGGGGTCTGGCATGTTTCTGACATGTTCCTCCGCGGTCGGTCCGCAGTCGGCAGCCAGGATACGAAAGATGCCATGGAAACGGTGTTGGGAGGTTCTGAGACGTTCCGAGGCTATTCGATGTTCTGCCGTGCGGTGACGTGGAGGTCGATTTCCGCTCGGTTTCCGCTGTCCGTAAGTGGACAAAAGTGGGTACAATTTGGACAAAAGTGGGTCAAAAAATAGACACAAGTGGGTACATGAAAAAATTAGTAGAAGCCGCTGGGTATACCCACCACGATGTCGGACAGAAGTGGGCACTCTGTTGAGGCCTTGCGCGCCGCGGCGGTATTAGGGCCAAAGGTGTGCCTGGAAGTGGAAAAAAATCGATGCCCGTGCTGTGTATGGTCCCTGGCTATGTCGCCCTGGTGCCAGAATGGGGTTTTGAGTCGTGTGGGGGTCGCACATGGACTGCGCGCGAGCTGGATTTTCGAGTACCCACTTTTGTCCGAGAAAGGGGTGGGTATACCCACTTTTGTCCATTTCCCATTTTAAAACTTAATCCGTCGTCTTGATCATTATCATAGCAGTATATACTAGGCGACTGTGTCTACGGTATGTGCCGTACTTACACGTTATTGGTTTTTGCTTGATCAAGTTAGGATGCGTTTCGGTGAAGAACAGGAACGACCGCACGATGGTTCAGATATGTTATGTGTCGTTTGAACCACACCTTGCTAATTTGCTGACGTTATAAGGCTTCCAAACTCCTGTCTTGTGTTACTTTTTTTCGGCCGGGTAAGTTGAGGGTCCAGCATTTGTTTTTGTTTACCCTTGGTCTATCGCGCCCGCTCCCCATGCTGTGTTTTTCGCGTCTTTCGTCCACCTGATGTCCACAATGGGCCCTGGAGTAGTTTACGGCGAGCCCGATGCGAAGCGAGCCGAGCGTTGGAGCAGGAGCAGGAGTAGGAGACCCCGAGAGCCCCGAACATGAGACTCGACGCCTCCTTGTGAAGTGAGCCGACATGATGCTATCGGTGCTCGAGTTCTGGAGAGGGAGGGAGGGAGAAAGAGAGGAAGGGGGTGTACCCATAGTCGTGCATGCCGTAGTCGTTAGACCATTGACCTCGCATTCCTACAAAGCCGGGACTGAGCACGCCGGGTTCTCACCGGACCAGGCTCTCACATCACCAAGCGCGCGTGAGGTATTCGGCGAGTCGCATGAAGGGTGTGCTGCATCCTGCTAAGGGTGTTCCGCATCTTGTACTTACTTCCTTGCGTACGGATGACAGCTGCGTATGACTTCATTTAGTATCTGGTGCTTCACTTCCTGAGACAGTTGCAGGCACTGTGTAACTGCCTCAAGGGTACTCGACCAATTTAACACAACGTGGTGCGATCATCCCCCTTGCGCGGAGTGAGGGTTCTCGATCCGGACAACATGATCTACTCGACCACCATTGTGGTTACCGCCAAAATTAGGGTCGGGTTAAATGTGTTGTGCTTGATGGTTCACAAGAATTGGGCAAGGCGGTACCTTTGTGGTCCAGCGCTTGGGGATTCATGTGTCGCGTTCCACGTGTGACGGGCGGTCTCCCTTGTGCCGACCGTGGTCGATTTGCCTGTCTCCCTCTACTTCACTCTATGGAACTCTGCCTCTGTTTCCCGGTGCAGACTATTTTCTTTTTGTCTACCGGGTAGCTTCCGCTCCGTTCATGTTTGTCGTTTTCCTCATTCCACGTCGTACGTTTTGTTTTTTCCGCGACTCGATCGGCTGCCCGATCCCATCCATGGCTTGACTCAATCGCGCTCCTCTTTTTTTTTTTCCGCCTCGTTGTTTGGTTTTTTGTTGCTTTTCGCCCGAAGGGCTCGAAACACGACCCGTGACGAGGCCTTGCGGGAAAACATCGACCGTCTAATCGAACAGGTAAGTCAACGGATGTGCGTTTTTCCTCCCGTCTGTGTATTTTTGTTCATTATTCTCAACTTTTTTTATTGTTTTGGGGGTTTTACGCAGCGCGGTACCGACTAAAGTCTTAGATCATTCGTGTGTGTCTACTGCATGCCCTGGTTCTGACAGAGCAGGAACGACGGAAGGGGGGGGGTGTACTCACTGTGGTGCATGCCGTAGTCGTTAGACCATTGACCTCGCATCCCTACAAAGCCGGGACGGAGCACGCCGGGTTCTCACCGGACCAGGCTCTCACATCACCAAGCGTGAAGCACCGTGAGGTAGTCGGCGAGTCGCATGGAGGGTGCACTGCATCCTGCCAAGGGTGTTCGGCATCTTGTGCTTACTTCCTTGCGTACGGATGACAGC